TCAGAGCTGGCCTTTTAGCTCAGACTTGCAAGGGCGGCTCCTCCCTGGGGGCCCTCATGCAAATGCCCTGGTGGGGGGCAACTGGGTGGAAAGAGACAAAAAGGGGACACAGGAAGCCCTTGTGAGAAGAGAGAACACAGTACCCTCTCTGTGTGGAGGAAATGTACATGGTGGAGTCAGTGATTCTGCAGTGGTGCCAGGAGGATCTTGCTGTGAGAGGCTGGCCTAGGGGCAGGGAAAGGCCTAGACAGCAGCAGCCCTGCCAACACTGAGCATCCTTTACAGTATTTTTCAAAAAACAGACACTTAAACCAGTGGAACTGAGTCAAAGGCCCAGAAATAAACATCCACTTCTACACTTAATTAAATTTTTTTCAAGGGAGCCAAGAGGGAAGGACAATGGGGAAGGACAGTCGCCACAACAGATCTGTGGGGAAACCTGGATGACCACGTGCTGAAAATCAAATTGATCCCGCTCTAATACCACTCACAAAATTAACTTAAAATCAATTAAATAATTAATGTAAGACTAACTTGCATAAGAGAGCAGAAGTCCTAAAAGAAAGTGAAGCAAAGGAACTGCTTGACATTGGGCTAAGCAATGATGTTTTTTGTTATTGGATAATACACCAAAGTGTAAGCAACAAAAGCAAAAATCAGTAGTGGGGCCACATCAATCTAAGAAACATCACAGAAATTAAGTTAGCAAGTGAATGAAAAGTTAACTTATGGACTGGGGGAAAATATTTCCAAGCCACATAGTGGATAAGAGGTAAATACAAAATACATTAAGAATCCATACAACTCAGTAACAAGGAAAAACACAATCTGATTAAAATAATTGGGCAGTGGAACTGAAGAGAAGTCTGTTCAAGGATCACCCTTAATTACAGGAAAGCATAATCAATATCACTAATCACCAGAAAATGTCAATCAAAATCCCAGTGAGATATCACCTCACCCCTGTTATGGGCCATCATCAAGAAACCCTTATAACTGTTGGTGGAAATGTAAATTAGTGAAAGCACTCTGAAATGTATATGGAGTTATTCAGAAAGAATTGCAAATACAATTATGAGTATATCTGCAAAGAAATGAAAATAGGTTATCAGAGATAGCGGCACTCCCCTGAATTATTTTTCACAGTAGCCAACATATGGCAACAACTTATCAACAGAGTGGAAAAAATTGGGGTGTTATTTATATATATACAGAGAACATGAATGAGCCTTGATATCATTATGCTAAGTGAAGTCAGAACAGTTAAGATAATAATTATATGACATCTCTTTTTTCTGAAGTCTACGGAGTTGAACTCACAAAAACAGAGTAGTATGTGGTCACCAGGGGCTGGGGCTAAAGAATCTGGGCAAACATTGTTTAGGGATACAAACTGGCAACTAGTAGATAAATAAAACCTGGAGTTTTAATGCACAGCATAGTGATCGTCAATAATATTGCATTATAAACTTTTAAGTGGCAAATAGACTAAATCTTAATTGTTTTTACTATAAAAATATAATTTCTGGCTCTGGTGAATTCTCTCACCCTCCCGCGCTTCTGACTGTACCCAGTGCTTGTATAACTAAAAATTAAAAAAAAAAAAGAACTTCAAAGAATTAAGCAAATATGAACAAGTAGAATAGAACAAATCTTTCAAACATTTCACTTGGGCCAGCCCTAGTGTGCAATTGACAGAACCATCAGGAAGTATAGTAGATACAGAAGTAGGGAAACTGTACCTTCGCATTTGAGACTTTCCCAACTAGTGTTACAGTCCAGCATTGTGTTAAAAAAAAAAAAAAGCATTCTAAATCTGATCTAGGAGCTATTTCAGGATTGCCTGGTAGTAACCCAGCTGAGATCTTGTGCCAGCCTCGCGATGGAAGTTGTGCAAATCATTTTTCTAGATACTCTGCTCTATAGCTAGAAACAATACTTTTTTTTATTTTCAAGGAGTTAAGATCATTATTTTTCATAAACAGCCAAAATGAGGAACAGCCATTACAATCAAGACACATATAGGTGGACCTCCCTGGTGGTGTAGGGGTTAAGTCTCAGTGCTATAATACTGTATCAAGGATGTGGCCTGAGTTTGATCCCTGGCCAGGGAGCTAACCCACATAAGGCATAGCAGACCTCTCCTGTCTCGCCCACTGCTCCCACAGCAGTGTATTTCAGTCTATCTGCCTGTTCTGCTCCCCACTCTGTCTCTGGTGAATCCTCTCAACCTTCCACACCTCTGGCCTACACCCCAGTTCTTCTATGCATAAATAAATCTTAAAATATATATATATATATATATATATATATATATATATATATATATATATAACTGAGTCATTAGATTTCTGAGCAGGTCTATCCCAGGTAGGTGACTGATGACCATGCTTGGCTTCTCCCAAATGATCTCACATACAACAAAGCAGCCGGCCCTGGAGCTGATGGGCAGAGTCTCCATGTTGCAGGATGGACATAGATTCAAGAGTTAAGTGTTCTCTGTATTTGCTGTTATCAGGCTGAGAGTTTACCACTAGTAGACGCCAGGGTTAGACATTGCCTTCCCTGGGACCTAGTAAATTATTCCACAAGAATATTTAAGTCAAAAGAGCTTGACAAAATCTCATTTTTATAGACAGAGACATACAGCCCATCTAAGACCAGAGCAAAGGACAAAGAACTTTCATTAGTCAGTGAATATAAAATCAAGGTTATGATCTGTGAATTTCTTATGCTTACAATATCATAAACATAACAGAGTCATAAAAGAATTTTCTTTAGAGAAAACTCTACTAGAAGGATGGAACTAAATGAGTAAAGCATTAAGCCTATAATCTGGTTGCTGCACACAAGACACAGGTGGTGAACAGGATGAATGAGGTCCCGAGTGAGGGAGACGCCTGTGTCTCCAGTCCTGACCACAGTCCCTGAAGGACAGAGGGTGACGGCGGCTGCTCTTCAGGTACCCGTCCTCACATTTGGTAGAAGGTGACCATGTGAAGAGACTGGGCCCCACGCTTCGATTGGGGGTGCTAGTTGTGACCTCCCCTCACAGCTAGCTCTTCTGGAAGCTTGTTTATCAGAATCATTTTCCTTTTGGGTTTCTCTCGATTCATTCAAGGAGAGGTCCTCACTGAGCTTTGTAAGTCAGAGAGGAGGATTCACTCCTGTCCATCATACCTGCAGGCAGAGTCACAAGGAGAGGTCTGGAAAGTCACCTGCAGAGGTGCTGCAGAGGCTACAGTATCAGTTCCCCACTCCAGGGCTTTCTAGAAGGATCTAAGACCACGTAGTTAGGCAACTTATCCATTCAGTGGAAGATGTGCTCTGGCTTCTGAGGGAGCAACAGAGAAGCCCCATTTCTAGTTTTTGCCTCCCCAACCACCACATTTCTAGTCCTTTAAAAGATTGTAATATAAACTCTATCTTCATGTATCAAATCAATGCCTGACAAGAAACACTGAAAGAAAATTTGCAAAAGGTTTATTTGAAATGTGACTCTTATTCAATATATACAAGGGCACTTCAAATACAACAATAAGAGAACAAACAAACCAATGAAAACTGGGCCAAAGTCCTTCAAGCAGCGGGGAATATGAACAGCTTAGGTGGAGGATAAATCAGCTGTGACACACCCAGACAAGGGAGCATCCTCAGCGCTGCAAAGGAACATGACAGGGCATGTACAGATCCTAAGTGATGATGTGAGGAAGCCCATCTGAAACAGACTCCATCTGTGTGATTCCATACAGGACATTCTGGAAATGGCAACACCAAGGAGGCAGTCAAAACCTCAGTAATTTTCAGACATTGTGAGGAGGCAGAGAAATAGGTGGAGCTCAGAGCAATTGCAGGGTAGTGAAACAGCTCTTTATGATGCTAATGGTGGATACCTGCCATTATGAATTTATCCATATTTTAAATTGTCCTTAGGATATAAAACAAGGGTGAGCTCTCTTATAAATTATGAGTTTTGTGTTATGAAGCAGTGTCAATATCGCCTCATCATTTGTAACAAATGTACTACTCTGGCACAGAATGTTCAATGTTGGAAAGAGGGGAGCCCCTTCTACCAGAACCTCCAGTCACCATCAAGGCAGAGCTGCATGCGAGAACAGCTCTCAGCAGATGGGGCACCAGGAGGAGCAGCTGGGCTGCCCAGTCTCACACATCTGCTCCCGGGGTGGTTTTTGTTCAGGCCTGTGTCACTGTGGGAGGGTTGCTGTTACTCTGATGACAGTAGTAAGTGGCAGCATCTTCAGGCTCCAGGCTGCTGATGGTGAGAGTGAAATCTGTCCCAGATCCACTGCCACTGAAGCGGGATGGGACCCCAGGCTGCAAATTGGATGCACCATATATGAGGAGCTTAGGAGCTTTCCCTGGTTTCTGCTGATACCAGCTTAGATAACTGCTAACACCCTGACTGGCCCGGCAGGAGATGGTGACTCTGTCTCCCGGAGATGCAGACACAGAGGTTGGAGACTGGGTCATCTGGATGGCACACCTGGCCCCTGAGATGGAAACAGAAAACACACACCCACATTGTCATCCTGTCATCAGAGGACTTCCCTGAGGGCCAGGGGTCCTGCCCACCCGGGGCTGATCAACTCCTGGTGTTTCCTTCCTCACCTGGGAGCCAGAGCAGCAGGAGGCTGAAGAGCTGAGTGGGGGCCCTCATGTCCATGCTGGGTCCTGCCTGGACTGACCCTCAGGGGCTGGGGCAGACTATGAATAGTCTGGAGGGAGGGGCTGTGCTCTGGAAACATGCAAATGAGCAGGGGCAGGGCAGTGGGCACAGCTGCAGGGGCTGATCTCAGTGACAGCACAGAGGCAGGGACTCCCCAGTGACCAGGTGTCCCCGGAGCAGGGCAAATTTGCCTGCAGAGAAGGTATTTCTCACTGGGGATCACAGGACATAGTCATTTACTGTATTGTTAGTGTGGCGATCTTTTGGTCTCACCTTATTTACAACATGTTTTACTTTCAATTCTCCACATAATACAGGGCTATTGTTATGACACTCGAAGAAATTGTGCAGGTTGCTCTATGTGTTCATGTGGATATGTTCTTAAGGTTAGTGAGGTTTCCTCTTGACTCTGGTTCACTGTTACTGTTGATGTGAGAAGTATCATCACTGCCAACCTGATGCTGTGAAGTAGGAAGACAATGCAGTGTGGCTGTCAGGAGTTGTAAGAGTGAGCCCCGACACTGAGAATTCTCCCTGCTGACCTCACCTCCAGCTAAGCCTTGTGTCTCTCCATGTCTGAGGGCCCCGTCTTATCACATCCATGCTGAACCAACGGTCAAGGCTATTCTCCCCCCATACCTGACATTCTCCCTCCCTTGTCAGTGCTGTCATTATACAGCCGAAGACATGCCCATCTCCTGGGACTCTAGCTCAGGTCCTTCATTCTCCTTCCTAAGGAGCTCCCTTCTGAGCTGAGGTCCTCCCAGACTAGCTCTTCAACGATTCCCTGGAATCTCCTCTGTCCCTGCATCTGCATGTTCATCAAACACCAAATGTCTTCGAGCTCCTAGCAGACAGCAGTCCCCAGTGCAGGGGGCAGGGTATTGGGGCCCAGCTGGGTAGGAGACCACACACTGGAAGGTGATGGGGACACCCCTCAGGGTTTGGAGCTCATACAGTGCAGGATGATCATCTACACGGACTTGAAGGGCTGGAACCAGACTGGGTGAGGAGGGTGTTCCCCACAAGGAGAGGTGACCTTGGTGGCTGGTGCAGAGCTTTGAACTACAGTATATGACAAGGAAGCAGTCTCGTGTCTATGAAACTGAATAAACTACCCCAATGTAATCCCTGTTTCTTTCACCATTAAACAGCATGACTGGAAATGGAACCTTGAAGAGGATAAGCCAACAATCCTGAATCTGCTCAGGACCACTGAGATCAGCTAGTGTATCTGCTATGGATTGAAAAAAGACTTTTCCCACATTCATATCCCAAAACTTTTATAAACTGTTCAAGGCTACCAATCCCTGAGGCCAATGTGTGTAGACTGCTGTCTCCAACATGTTAATAGTGGGAAGATAAGTAATAAAATGGAGCAAAATAGGTCGGGTGTGGAAGAAAATTTGTGGGTATTATGAAATATTATCTCCTCAACAATATACCCAAAACCACTCAACTCCAACATGCCCATAAATGTGAACTATGCCTCAGTTGTCCACCTGTCAGGCTGACACTGATTTAATGGTTGAGCCCAGAAAGGAGCAATAGGCTAAGATCTTACTCCCCCTCCTCATGACTATGGCTCAGAGAGCACATGGACCTCCATTCCCTACTGCTTCTGTCAGGACGAGACTTTTGGCTCAGAGGGCACATGGACCTCCATTCCCTGCTGCTTCTGTCACGACGAGACTTTTCACCTGAGGCCCTGTGAAAGGTGAGGCCTCAGGTGCAATAGAGGTTCGTTATCAAGAACCCTTAAGTGTAAACAACCCCCTTGAGTTCTCCAATGTATTCTTCTTACCCTAAGAGAAAAGGCCTGCTCTGCTCCTGGTCACCCAGGAGGGAGGTTTTTGTTCAGGCCTGAACCACTTTGGGTGGGGTACTTGAACCTTGCTGGCAGTAATAAACTCCAACATCCTCAGCCTCCACCCTGCTGATCTTCATGGTGAAATCTGTGCCTGACCCGCTGCCACTGAACCTGTCTGGGACCCCAGAGGCTCGGTTGGATACTTTATAGATCAGGTGCCTTGGAGACCGGCCTGGCTTTTGGTGGTGCCAATGCAAATAGGTGTTTCCATCACTATGTACAAGGCTCTGACTGGCCTGCAGGAGATGGAGGCCGACTCTCCCAGAGTGACGGTCAGGGAGAGGGGGGTCTGAGTCAGCACAATATCCCCAGTGGATCCTAAAATAATAAGAGAAAAAAGAAAACTTGATAAACTATTTTCATAATTTTCCTTCTGTTATGTATTCAGGATAAATTCATTTTCATTTTAATACCCTAAGGTAGACCCCAACCTCTGCAAGGTATAATGTGATGTCTAGAGCTACAAACAATCTCCCTTTCTCTGTGTCACTGTTGTCACCAGAAGACAGGTACTTGTTTTTCTGGTTTCCTCTTTACTCTCAGAGATGTCCCTTCCCCTGTCCTTTCCACAGGGCCAAGGCTGGTACACATGTGCATGTGCACTGAGACACGTGGGGAGCAGGTGCCCCCAGAGCTCACCCTCCCTGTTCCTTTCTCACCTCCCCTCTGCCCTTACCAGGGACCCAGAGCATCAGCAGCCCCAGGAGCTGAACAGGGAACCTCATTTCGAGAAGCTGACCTCAGAGCCCTGATAAATCAAAGCAAGGCCTGAGCTGACATTTTATCTCAGCCCTGCCAGGGAAGGTCCCCAGGGACCCACATGCAAATCCCCAGGTGTGGGCAGCAGGGTGCAGAGAGCCAAAGGGAGGGTGGGGCTCATCTCTGAGAACATAGGAAAAACTGTTTTTGTGTGGAAGGAAAACCAACAGTGAGGAAATCTATGCTGTCTAAGGGAAAAGGCCCTGCTTCCTGGTTTCCTGTGCCAGTTTTCTAGTTTTCTAGAAAGTTCTCAGATACCACCTTTACAAGTCACTCTAATAAGGTTGAAGTAGCAGCAGTATCAGATGATTTTGTCTTTTTAACATCTTATAAAAGACTGTGGGTTTATTCTTTCTTGTCTAAATTGAGATAAAACACATATGGAACAAAATGCAGAAATCTTATACCTAACTGTACAAGGACTACGTAGATTCACTACCTGGATGAAATTCAGCATATTTCAAATACTTCAGATGCCTCCTGATGCCCTTTCAAGCCAATATCTACTGCCATCCAAGGTAGATGCCCTTCTGACATCTGTCACAGCAGTTTGAATTTTTCTGGCCTTGAATTTCATCTTAACTGAAGTCACCACTCTTTACTTACTAATCCTGACCTTACTAGTTTATCAGACTTCAGTTCATTTGAGTGCTGTTGAAATATAAAGAATCTTGCAAATAACTTCTAAATTATTTTAAAGGACCCTGAACCTGTGATGGCTGTGGAATCCACTTGGAACCAGGCAATTCCATCTGGTCTCTACTGTCACTTTGAGATCCTGGTAAGTTCACTAGTGTGGTTGACTCATTAGTTCCCTGGTTTATTTTTCCCTTATTGGCAAAGTCGAAAGAAACAGGGGACCTGTTGCTGATTGTTATAAAAGGTCCCACACTGCAGACTCACTCAGCCAATCAAAGAAAGTGAAATGGATTTAAGAACCAAACAGGGCTTCCCCTTGTGGCACAGCGGTTGAGCGCTGGGCTACGAAGCTGCCCACAGCCTCCTCAGCACCAGTTCTATCCCCGGACGGCCGGCAAGTGTCCCACATGGCATGCAGACCTCTCCTGCCATGCCCCCTGCTCTCCTCAGCAGTGTATTTCGTCTGTCTGCCTGTTCTGTTCCCCACTCTGGCTCTGGTGAATTCTCTCAACCTCCCGCTCTTCTGAGTGTACCCACTGCTTGTACAAATAAATAAATAAATCTTTAAAAAAAAAAAAAAAAGAACCAAACAGTTTTCAAACAAATGACCTAAGCTCAAACCATGTTTTTACTATAAAACTCCTGTGTGCCGTTACCTTAATGGACACACCTTCAGATGCCCCTTGTTTGTGGACCCTGATCATAATCCTTAATCTGTGAAAAATGCTTTCTTTTTATACTACAGTCTGAGTATTGCTTGGTCAAATGGCCATTATGCCGGGATTGTTGATTGACTAGAGAAAGGAAAAAAGTATGGGATATATGAAAACATGGTAGATGGGATAATGACTGGTAGGGGCTGTGCGTGGTGTTACTGCTCATATCTCACCATGTAGCTCATGTTCCCTTTGCCTTCACTAGTGTCCAGGACAAAGTGGTGTTCATCTGACAGTGCCACCCTCTCCTCCATTCTGAATCCTGTAGGAGCATATGTGCAGTATCTGCCAGCAGTGAAAGAGCAGGAATAGAAGGATTCCAAAAGTTCCTCCAGGTTCCCCATATTCTCCACCTCCTCCTGTTCATCTGTAGAAATGGCCTGATTGTCATTCTCACTGGGGTCTGTGATGTCTTCTCCACAATGAAACCCTTTGTTGGCAGGTTATCTTATGTCATAGAGTCTGAGTTACCACGTGTTTGTCATTTCTTCCACGTCAATGGAATAATAGCTGTTTCAACATTGTAGATAAAGACCTGTTAACCATAAATCCACAGTTGAGCCAAAAAAAAAAAAAAAAAGAAAGAAAGAAAAAGAAAGAAAGAAAAATTTGCCAGTTGCTCAGTGGGCATAAGAAACAGGGATGGGTCATAACTTATGTGCTAAACATAAATATTATGATTATGGGACCAATAGCACCTTACACGGCCAACGTTCTGTAAAGCAGAAATATGACATCAGAAGGCCTGTGTTTCATCTGCCTGACTGACTATGGGCCCCTCCAACCAATCAGGAAGCTGCCTTTGGGCACAGATGCCTCCTGAGCACTTACAATGTGTTTCACCTTTGTGTTACAAACAGCTTCTTTGCTCTTAACTACACTGTGTGGCATGTTCTGACTCTGAACAAAAACTCAGAATCCTCACATAATATTTCTGGCAGAAACACAGCTCACAGCAAAGGCAGGTGCACATGTAGGAAACATGGGCTGCCTACTCCATGTAGGTTTCCCAGAATCCACAGCACCCAGGAGTCTGCTGCTCTGGGGTTCTGTAGATGGCTAGGGGTGCAGGAGGGCTTATCATTCTTGGATGGTGGATGCTGGGAAGTGCCAACAGTGTGTTCTTGGTTATTGGCATTCATGTTACTGAGGATGTGAATGATCTCATAACTTTTGTTATGAGATTTATACTCTGTGACCCACTGATTTTTTTGTTTCGTGACAGATTTGCTGATGGGCTTGGAAGCACATTATGTGTGTTCTTAACGTGTCTCTTATGTGTCCAAACTCTGAGAGTGGGGAAATATGCCCACACAGGCTGTCTGAGGTCCAGCTCCCAACATCAGCATCACCTCCGGAATCAGATGTATCTTTTCCCTCTGTGGCTTCCTAGAGATTGTTCAGGAGAGGGTCACCACTGAGCTCTGGAAGCCAGAGAAGTGGATTCCCAACCAATCACAGTAAATGTGGGCAGAGAGTTGACAAGGTGAGGTCTGGAAGGCCCCTGGAGGGGTGCTGCCAAGGCTCAGCCTCAGCTCCCGCCCCCAGGCTCTCTAGATAGACCTGAGTCCTGTGGTTTCTGGAGAGACATCACAGAAACCCCATCTAACATTTACTTTACTGACTATCCTGCAATCTTTGTTCACAAATACTATTCAATATTGTCATCTGTATCTAAACAATTCCTGACAAGACCCACCAAGAGAAAACTTTCCAAAAACATATCTGATAAAGTTGTTACGCAAATACACAGTACTCTTTAATTTAAACAAAAACAAAACAAATAACACAATTAAAATTGGACCAAGACCTTAACTCACTCACCACAAAGATATGTAGATGAAAATCAACATATGAAAGATACCCCACAGCATCAGTCATCAGGAAATGCAAATTGAAAAAAAAAAAGTCAGCACTGCAGCCCTACCACCATAGCCTACCTCCAGCACATGGAAACATGCTGTTCTGGCATCGATTTGACACAGGAACTCTAAGTGCTGGTGGGGATGCTAATTTGTGCTTCATATTGGACCACTGGTTATTGGATTCTTACAAAATTCAACTGGCTTTTACCACATGATCTAGCAATCAGTCTCCTTGGAATTTACCCAAAAGAGCTTAAAACAAGGCCCACATGAACCTGCACACACTGTTTACAGCATCTGCTCATAAGGACCAACACAGGACAGCAACCCAGGAGTGTTCCAGCAGGTGTGGAAGGTACAAATAACTGTGTACACCCAGACAGTGGAGCGTATTCAGCAGTGAAAGGAAATGAGTTAATAAGACACCAGCTGATATGGAAGAAACTTAAATACACATTACTAAGTAAAAGTAGTAAAGGCCACATATGCTATGAATACCTCCATTTGGCATTCTAGAAAAAGTAAAACTAAGGAGATAGTAAAAACATCAGCAGATTTCAGAGGTTATGAAGGGGAGAAATAGGTGGAACAAGAGGATTTTTAGTGCAGTGAAACTACCATGTATGATAACATAACAGTGGATACAAGTCATTGACCATTTGTCTTAACCCTTGGAAAAAAACAAAGCTGGTGTGACCCTTGTAAACTGTGGACTTTGTGTGTCAAGGACAGGTCAGAGTAGATTCATTTTACCCCTGAAGGGAGATGTTGAATGTTGTTAATGGGACAGGTGATGTATATGGGGGTCTGGGTATTTATGAGAATCTTCTGTATGTCAATAGCTTTTCTTGAGAACATAAAACTTCTTTTTAAATAATAATACCTATTAAAATTAACTTTTGCTTGTACTATGTGTGTGGCTTCTCTCCTGATGTATGAACCTTCACTAATGTCATTACCCAGGTTCCTCAGGTATCATCACCTCTGTCTATATTAAGTCAGCAGAATCACTGTCCCGACTGTGTTACTGGGACAGAGATGGGGAAGGAGACTCAGGATGTCAAGGAACCTCCCTAGCCCATCTAAAGGAACATTATAGTTTTGCAACCTTGGCTATATGAGAACCTCTCTCAGCAGATGGGGCACCAGGAGAGCAGCTGTGGCTGCCCAGCCTTGCACATCTGCTTTCCTGGGTAGTTTTTGTTCAGGCCTGTGTCACCGTGGGAGGGTAGCTGTTACCCTGTTGACAGAAGTAAGTGGCAGCATCTTCAGGCTCCAGGCTGCTGATGGTGAGAGTGAAATCTGTCCCAGACCCACTGCCACTGAAGCAGGATGGGACCCCGGGTTGCAAACTGGATGCACCATAGATCAGGAGCTTAGGAGCGTTCCCTGGTTTCTGCTGATACCATTGTAAATTAGTACTAACACTCTGACTAGCCCGGCAGGTGATGGTGACTCTGTCTCCTGCAGATGCAGACATGGAGAGTGGAGACTGGCTCATCTGGATGTCACACCCGGCCCCTGGGATGGAAACAGAAAACACACCCACACTGTCATCCTATCATGAGAGACTTCCCTTAGGGCCAGGGGTCCTGCCCTCCTGGGCCTGCTCAACTCCTGGTGTTTCCTTCCTCACCTGGGAGCCAGAGCAGCAGGAGGCTGAGGAGCTGAGCAGGGGCCCTCATGTCCATGCTGGGTCCTGCCTGGTCTGACCCTCAGGGGCTGGGGCAGACTATGAATAGTGTGGAGGGAGGGGCTGTGCTCTGGGAACATGCAAATGAGCAGGGGCGGGGCAGTGGGCACAGCTGCAGGGGCTGATCTCAGCAGCACAGAGGCAGGGACTCCCCAGTGACCAGGTGCCCCCAAGGCAGCAAAATTTGTATTTTTTCTTGGGGAAAACATTGTAATTTCCATCTATTTTTCTATGAATATACTGTTCCTGTGGTATCTTTAAGATTCACGATATAAAGAGAGGTAGAGTATATATACATCTCCACTATAAAAAAATACAAAGTCTTAACATTTGCTATTACACGGATGGAATGGAGGGGTTATGGTAAGCAAAATAGGTCAGAAGGAAAAGACAAAACCTGGATAATTACAATACATGTTGAATATGAAAAAAACAAGGGAATAAATAAGACTAATAAAACAAACCCTGGAAGTCTAATAGTAGAACTGAGATTACAAGAGGGAGAATTTAGTGTTGGGAGCAAAACGGGGAACATTGGAGTATGGGTGGGGGATCGTGGGTGCTCTGGTGATGGCTGTGGGTAATAATATTGATTTAAAGAGGTGTGAGCTTATACCCCCACATTACATACAGCGATAAAAGCCAACATCATTTCAATAAAAACAATAGAATTGAAAAAAAAAGATTCACCATAGGCTTTATTTATTTCCTATCTCTCCATATAACACAGGGATAAGAGTATAACACTCTAATATATAGCAAAGACTCTTTTAATTCATTATGTGGACATTAGTGAGGTCAATAAGACTTCCTATTTGCTATGATTCCCTGACATTCCTGGTGTGAAAAATTATCATCACTGCCAGTCAGAGAGGCAGTCAGGTGGCAAGACAATCAGCAGTGTGGGTGTCAAGAGTAGTAAGAGCCCTGACACTGAGCATCCTCCCTGCTGACTTCCTCTCCAGCTAAGCCACATGTCCCCCCACATATAAGGTCCTGTCCCACTACATCTACCTCAGCCCCAAGGTCAAGGTGTTCTCCCCCCACATCTGACAGTCTCCTCCCTACCCTGTGCTATGTCATCACACAGACCTGAGCACACACCCTGGTCTCCCTGGACTGTAGCTCACATCCCTCATCCTCCTCCCCAGGTGCTCCCTTCTGAGCTGAGGTCCTCCCAGATCAACTCCTCAGTGATCCCTGGGGTAAACTGTGTCCCTGCACCTGCACATTCCCTCACCGCCATGTCTCCTCCAGATCCCAGGAGACAGCAAATCTAGTCTCAGAGTGAGGAGGGGTCTCCCTGCCCACTCCCTTCTCTTCTCATGCTGCCAGGACGCTGCCTTCAGTGCTTGTCTTAGATATATTTCAGACAGGTAATCGTGAAAAGATGCTCCACATCATATCTCATCAGGAAATGCAATTAAGACAGCACCCCTTTAGTATGCCTAAGTCTAGAACACAGTTACACCTGTTCAGGACATGAGGGTGCCCCATAAATGCCTTATTCATAAATTCCAGAATTTGGGAGTGTCCAGGTGTTCTTCAGTGGGCAGTAAATTTAGGCATGAACTGTGGCTCACCCAGAAACAGGACCTTATGTAGCACTAAAAGAAACAAGTTTATAATCTAGAGA